GGATAACAATGTCAGACTTGTTTATTCAATGCACACAGACAAGTTTCATTGTTTATTTAACCAGGTGTTAGTCACAGGAAATCACTTCACGCATGAACGCACGCAGTTGTCCAGGTACAGGTAGCTTATAGCTTGGGGCAATTAGGGATTATCTTGTCAGTTTTAAGGGGTATGCAAGGTGAAACATATAGATTAACGTGATAATTGTTAGTTCTTTTATTAAAATTATAAATTAAAGACAATAAAACACTAGTCAAACCATAAAATCGGAATCCAAAGAGATCGTTTTTTTTTTTAAAAACGAAAGTAGAAAACTACAAAGCATAGCTGCATATTATGAAAAAATTAAGATGAAACAATCAAGTGTATGTCAATTATAATTTCTTTTCCCTCCCTTCTCCCAAAAGTAATATTGTATGTTAGGTATGTGCATGACTTAAGGAAATACTCACATGGCACCATCAAACCTGACAAATTTCATGACTGTAAAAAAAATAATTCTCTTTTGGATAGGTGGTATAAATTTCTGTAAATTTAGTATCTATTAGGATTTCTAATTAATTGAAATATAAATAAAAATCTCAAAAATGTTTCCAGAAACAGGACTTTAAAGTAACATCATTTTTTGTGCCATTTATATATTTTTTGTGACCTATATGTTGATTTCATGTATATACAGATAATAGTCATCTTTAAAAAAAAATTTCAGCTTCACAAATTTTGATACGTGTTTCAGTGCATGCTACAACTGGTGAATGAGGCCCCTTTCATGTACACAAGTGAGTTGGAGACAGTTAGCTCCCTTTGTTTCCGAGCCTTAGACGGCTCTAATTATGATGTCAGGTGTGCAGTGGCGAAACTTCTAGGAAATCTTATGTCAACGACTCAGAGTCCTAAAGCAGCCAGCACAGGTAAAGTTAATTACAGAAACTCGTTAAGTGTGATTTAATAGACAATCAATAGAGTTTGTGCTATGAGATATCATTTTCAATCATATTTAGTATGGTGTTAACATTTTCATTGGGTTCATTGACCAAGAAAGTAATTGAGAATTGATTTACTAATATTTGTGTCATGCACCTTCCATATGCCTGTCAGAATCTTGTAGTAAAACTTTAACTCTGACGGTTAAATTTAGGTTGAGATTCCACTTAAATGATCTTTCTCATGCATCATATTTCCTCTTTGATTGTTCACAGGTGTTCTTGAAAGTACATTTTAAAGTGCTCTTTTAGTGCATTAAAAAGATGTCCTTCCTGCACTTTAGTGTGTAGAACATGTAAGCTTGGTAAAAACCTAATTATCTCTTCTGTTTTAGGCAATTTTTCTAGGCTGAGTTTTGGAGGTATTTTAACTAATAATACACTATAAATTACCCGGTAATAATAGCTTGGTATTAGGGATGGCAATTTGGATTACTCATTCAGAACAATGGCAGTCAGTTAGAAAATAAGTAATCGGTTAGTCGGAAAAAATAAAATATATATAAATTTGAACGTAATTTTTTTAAAATTCATTTTTCAAAAAAAAAATCTTTGTATAAACGTGGATATTTCATCATTTTCACATGTGAAAAGTGTGATTTTATCAATAGTAAGAGTATATGTGCTATTTACACATATCCAAGATGACTTGATCGAATTATGCTTCTCCAGATTGAGATTGTAGGATATTAAATCAGTCATTTTGTGTTTGAAGTGTTAATAACTGTTCAAACACCATATTACCCTGACTGTCCTGTAATTCTTTAATGAGTATTGAATCACCATTGAGAACTGCAAATCAGTATGTTTGTCTTTTGCAGTTATCTATCAAATATTAAAATAATTAGCAAATAAACTTTGTAAATAAAGTTATGTATTTCAGATTTAGTTTTAATTATTGTGACAACATAGAATGAATGTATGTGGAATCTGCTTGGAAAATTATCAATGATTTTGCAGACTTAATTCCTGGTTATCTAATTTTTCCAGTCTATATTGATCATTGAAACTGAAATCAGAAATATAAGCATGTGGGTTTTTATTTAAATCAAGAATCAAGACAAATATTGAAATAAAATTTTTTAACATCAAGACTATATTCAGTCTTCTTGTATATGAATAGAGCTACCAGGTACTTAGAAAAAAGTATGTACATCAAGAAAATGCATATTTTGGAACTGACAACCAGTAAATCTGTCGGAAAGTCTTGCGGTTAACCGAATAGTGATATTGTATTCAATTGCCATCCCTACTTGGTATCTATGGGGCTTATATTAGAAATCTGCTCTTTAATGCTTAGTATATTGTATAACCTGTAATCTTTTCACTATTCAGACAATATTATAATATTGTAATAGTAAGATATCACAATTTTTTCTGCCACCCATATTCAAATCCTTTCCTTCTTTTATTTTTTGGTCAAATTTAAACCTAATTTAAAGAAAAAAGTTTTTTTTTTACTTTTACTGCTTTTAAAATCTGCTTGGTTCAGAAGCTTTATAGATATACAAAGAAAGAAACCCATTATTGTAATAGGAGAAGGTGATATTTATTGTAGTTATTAAGTAAGTAAACCACTTTGTTGCAGTATCTTAATTCTAACACAGCTGATATATTTTGATAACAGCTGGATTCAGATAACCTTCTGTTGATAAGGGTCTGTTGAATTTCTTCTTTTAAGTATATCTTTTGTTGAATATTGATATTTATCTCAAAAGTGATTAGGAACCTGAAATGTTTTTTTTGTATAAGGAACAAGTGGTACTTCTCTGTATGTTTTCTGATAACGATATCATAGATCCCCCTCTTTTTCTGAGGCTGGGATGGTAGCAATGTGGCAGATGAATGCGGAAATGTAGCTGTCTAGTTAATGGTGGGGTGGTGAGAGATAAAAGAAATCTTTTTAAGAAGTAAAAACCGTGAACTGAACCTTATCATGGAATGTAATATATAAACCTATAGAAACTGATAATTTTGATAGAAAAATAATTCCTTGCAAAATATAAATTTATAAATAATTTTCTTCTTCGTCCTTATCACTTTACTTCATTATTTTAAAGGAAAAATTATGACCCTGAGTTTATCCGTAAGAGTTCAATGCAAGATTTTAACGTAACAAATATATGAACATTTAGAGACTAAGATATATGAAGCATTAGATTAAGTTTTGGGTGCCAATGGACCAGAAAGAGAGAAAAATTATATGAAAGAGAAGTTACAGACTCATCATAGATTATGAGATAACGAAAATATATTTTTTTCTTGACAGCTAAATGGAAGCAGCCCAAACTTGAAGATGTATTGAATCTGTTGTCTGTTGGCTTTTTGAAAGGAGGAATAGGGAGTGGAAATATCAATAGAGAAATTCGAGTGGGAGTCACACATGTAAGTCAGACCAAAACAGATGGACAGATATAATGTAAATGATAACATTCAGCAATGAAGAGTCGCATTGTTCAAGTATAAACCTGGTGATCTCAGACATAATAATGTCAATTTTTGTATTAACATATCAGCAGTCATTCAAATGAATGCAAATATTTTTAATAACTGTATACAGGGAAATTTTTGCTCCTGTTTTATTTTCACTGTTTTTTCCCTTTCACAGACAAGTGAATATAAAATGGGACAAATTCAAAGAACACAGTATAATTTCTTAGACAAAACTTTGACTCGGCGAATTCAAAATGGGCAAAATTCTTTGCAAGTGTAAATGGATGAATAATAATATGAGGAGAAAATAACCCTGTGTACAGTATCTGATCCTTTCAGTATATAAACAAGTCTATCTATTATGAAATTTATATAAGTATCTAGTATTTGAACAAATTTTACAGGCCTATATAGAGTTTGTGAAGTCCATGGGGGGCCTGTGGCTGGAGAGAAATATTTCCGTGTTCCTGAACCACATCTTTGATCTGGTGGCCAACCCCAAGGCGACGCCCACTCATGTGGATGCTGTATATGCCAGGAAGTGTGTTCTGTTCATCATAAGGTCGGCCATCGGAGGACTGTTAGGAGAGAAGGCTCAAATAGCAGCAGCCAAGGAGATATCTCAAATCATTGTCAAGCAGATGAATATTGTTGGTAGGTTATTTGTACAGATACAGTGAAAACTGTCTAATCCGACACCTGAATAATATGACACACTGTGAATTCTGACCTTGGATTTCTTTCCCATTTTACTATTTTCCATGTTTTTCACACTGCACAATCGGACACCCTGTCTATTCACACACAAAATTTGTCTCCCAGTGCATGTTATGTTCAAGAGTTATTTAGAATTGAAAGAAAAAGGAAATGACATTATTTAGACAAATTTTCTATCTTGTAAAATAAAAGGATTTCAGTTACAACACGGCAATTATTTTATGATGTATGAAAAATATACCCTGACTGTTCTAATTTTCTGTCAGGCTTATTTTGTGAGAGCCCTGACAGACAGTTACTTTATTCTGTAGCTATGAAACAAGTGATAAGGGGAATAATTCTTGTAATTTTTCCTGGATGTTTAATTGAATATACACTGTAGAATAGATTAATTTTTTTCAGGTTTTGTGAGTGTTTTAAAGGACAGGAAAAGGAATACCAGAATATCTAAGATAAGTTTACTAGAACTGAAGGAGTCAGCAGCTATAGGAGCTGCCAGTTTGGGGGCCAAGTCAATCAAATTTAGTCTGCCTATCAACTATCAAAACAATGCCTCTCTCTATTTCCAGGCAGAATTTTGAATGACATGACATATTTCAGGCAAAATGATGGTAAAATTCATAGGTTGCATTTTGATGTCTTTTTTTATAGCCAGGGAATATTTCTTTACATTTCTTTTAAGAAAAGGTCTAATTTAAACAATAAAATGCTTTCGTTGATTGTTAGATGTGAATTAATGTTGCAGCTTTTGTAGAAAAAAAAGCATAACCCACTTAAGTGCAAATTTAATATTATATGCTTGTATAATGTGAAATTTCATATTTATTGTTAAGTCACACATACAAAATATTTTATTTACCAATCAAGAACCCCAAAAGACATTTCAACATATGGTATACATGTACACTCAGTCTGATAAATATAGGTTATTGTGATGATTTATTGTATGATTTTTTTATGAAATAATTTTTATAAATATGCAATATTGTATGATCCTCTGTAATTTACTTATAATCCATACGATGTATTGACACATAAGGGTTGACTTCTATATAATAAGCAGATGCCTTTATGATGTATTATTATACATATACATTGTAGAACTAGTT